AATAATAATAATAATATTAATAATAATAATAATAACAATGTTTCCTATCTTTCGCAGGCCTGGGAATACGGCATCCCTGTGTGCAAAGAGCTGGGGGAACACTATGAGAAGACCTTCCAGTACAAGAAGCTGGGACAGATTCTGGTGAGTGGGTCGCTTTATTTTTTTGGTTTTTGTTTTGGTTTGGATTTTCTTATAATGAGAATAGAGAGGAAATATTGGAGTGCACGGCCAGTTTGAACGAGAAAGAAAAATGTATTAACCCTTCCGGCTCCAGCCATTTTTGTGCACTCCCTAATCACAGTCCCAGCCAATACAGTAGTATTCAGAAAAAGAGGCATGCTTTCTAAAAAGTGATGTAGTATCTTTAATTGTAATGAGGTTTAGATAATAACATATATAACAATGTTTAAAGGTTAATGAAGTAATAATCTGAAAATTAAAGTTTAATTAGATTAGCTAATTTCGAAAAATGGGATAATTTAGTTTAGATAATAACACATAACAATGTTTAAAGGTAAATGAACAAATAAAAAATAATATTATGAAAATTAAAGTTTAATTAGGTTCGCTAATTTCGAAAAATGCGCAAATTCGGTACCCCCTGAAACTGAGAATATGCGCTCTTGGGACGGTTGGAGGTACAAGCCCTGCTGAAAATATATGCGCGTGGGACTGGAAGGGTTAAGTTTTAGATGAGTATGCAGGTTAATTCTGCTTAGTATACAAGAGGCTATTCCTGTTTGGTACACAATTTCCTCATCTAAGTTTTCAGCATCACAAACCTCCCCGTAACTCCTATTTTAATTAACCTATTTTCATGAAATTACAACCAAATTGGGTAGAAATGAATGATCCAAGTGACAGTAAACATACAATTTGATTTGAGATAGATGAATTTGGTGGGATTGGATAATGTTTTGTTGGTTTTTTTTATTTTGGCTGTTTTGACAACTGAGTGATGCTGTGATCTAAAACTGATCCACATGTAAGAAGTAGATTTAAATGAATTACATTCGAACCTGATAGTATAGAACAAACGTTGAAAGAAAAAGTGGGGGGGGGGAAGAAAGAGAGAGATTATTAAAATAGAGACAGACATTATTAAGAGAGAGAGAGAGAGAGAGAGAGAGAGAGGGGGGGGGGGGGGGGAAGGGGGGGAGTATCAGTTGTACAGGTGATTGTATTGGACAGATATTCATTACAGCTTGTTCAACTGTATTTTGTTTTATATGAGTATGCAGATAAGTAATACTATTCTGTGAAATCTGATCCTTACCTGAGAAGTAAATGAAACATGAATTACATGTGTTCACAATTGTTGTGTAATATTATGTTTTGTTCGGTGTACACGTTATGTAAATTACACCCTAGTAGAGAGAGTGAGAGAGAGCGAGAGAGACAGAGAAAAAGAGAGAGCGAGAGAGAGAGAGGGAGAGAGAGACAGAGAGACAGAATGAGAACGAGGGGGAATGAGGGAGAGAGGAAAGGAGGGAAGGAGGTGGAGAGATGGTTGTGGGAGAAAGGGGCACGCTGTGAGGAGAGAGA